CCCCCCCGGCCCGCCGGCCCCACCTGGGGTCAAGCACCTGCAGGTGCGGCACCGCGGCGAGCAGCGCGGCGAGAGCGAATCAAACGGGCTCGTGTTGTCACGTCCGCCGGCCGCGCCGCCGCCAGCCAGCCGTTGGCAGACGATTAATGATGACATTACAGAGGGAATGCTCGCGCTCGCGTTCGTTTCGTACGTAGCAGGAGCGCAAAACGCATTTTACTTTACCACTCGCCTCCTCCTCGCGCGCTCATCCGCATCCCCACACGTATGTACCCACACACACTCCGGCGCCCCGCGAGAGAGGCTGCTGGTGGTGGTGTATGTGGTGAGGCCGCCGCGGGCGAAGCAAAAATCTAAATAATAAATTCCGAAGTGCCGAAGGAAACCCTTGGCGATATCTATCGCCTCGCTCCGCGGCGGCCGGCCCGGCGGCGGTGCGGGGATCATTGATTCACAAAAGTAATCGCCACATCATACCCGCGGGCCCGGGCCATCGGGGACCCGCCGCCCAGGACGGGCTAAAGTTCACGCCGAAGGCCCCCTGGTCCCCGACCCGCGGCCCGACCTCCACTTGGTCGTCGGTCGTGGAGTGAAGTGGGTAGCGGTCGGACCTGGCCCGCGCAAAAGGCGATCGTCGTCGCGGACCTTCTGGACCCCGACCCGCGGCCCGACCTCCAATTGGCCGTGAAGTGAAGTGGCCACCTGGCCGGACCTGGCCCGCAGGATCGGTATTCGTCGCGGACCCCCTCGACCCCCGACCCGCGGGGGCCGACGCCGACCCGAATACCTCCACTTGATCGTTGGCCGTCAAGTGGAGTTCGCGGAAGCGGTGGGGGTCGGACCTGGCCTGGGGCCGGAGTCGCGGAGTCCCTTGTTGACCGGGACGGCCGGGGCCGAGGCGACAGGACGGCGCCGACCTTATCAGGGCGCTGCCAGGAGCTAATCCTCGCGAAGGGGACAAAGTGCCGACGCCGACCGCGGGGGAGGCCGGCCGGCGAGATGCATTGGGGCCGAGCCACCCTTTCGAAGGCCGCCTCACCACGCCCCGCCACGCCCCAGCTACGCCAGTATCGACACCCGTGTACGTCACCCTCTCCCAATGCGTTACCCCGGACTCGTTTGAAAGTAAAATGGAGAGCGGTAGGACCCGGGAGCAGGGTGGGGCCCAGCGGCACGCAGCAGCCCAAGCAGCCCACAAAGAGCCCGCCTCGTCCCGCCCCGCCCCGCCACACCCATCGATAGATAGCGCTACTGTATATGGTCAAGAGCGTCGAGGGCGGGGCGGGGGCGGGGTGCGCGACTGCATCCAGTAAGAAGGGAGAAGGAAGCAAAAGCGGTGCGCTGCGACGCTAGCCCTTAATTTATAGCCTGGCGCCGCGTAGCCCAGTCTCACC